GGCCACGCTGCAATCCCTTCTCCTCCATTCTCCTCTTGGGATCTTGGGTATGCACGCACACACACCCGGTGTGAGTTTTAAGCCACCCGGGACGGGACTCGAACCACGGTCGACTACGTGGGAGTCCAGCGACATAGCCATTACACTAACTGGTGGCCCTTTTTTTCATTGTTATTTGTTTTGTTTTGTTTTGTTTTGGAGTGTTTTAGCACCTATCGTAAGGTGTGATCTTCTTCCCTGCATTTTCTATTTGTGATAAAGTGTAAGGATATATTAGATAGTCTTAGTGCTTTAAAACAAAAAATTCTAATTACTCTTTTTTTCAAACTTAAAAAAAAGTTATTACGGAGTCTCATCACTCCACAATCCCCTTCCTTCAGCTGGTTAGGATCTTGGGCTTCTGTGCCCGCCAGGTTTCAGGTCTATTTGAGAGCAAATCTGCTGTCATGTGGCTTCCAGCACTGTGGGTCAATACCAGTGTCACCAAGACTGACCTCCTCTGAAAATTCCAAACAGAATGGCTGAAGAAAATCTTAAATCATTCATAACTGTTGTCATTTGCAAATACTCTTTCAAAGAGAGTAGGATCTTCTAAATATTGAGCAATAATAAAATTTAACAAATATTCAAGAGTGGTTATTTTATTTACATTAACCCATCTTCATGCTCTTGAAAAAAGATTAATGATGGGGGCCAGCATGTGTTATGGTGGTTAAGGCGCTGGACTGCCATATGGTGGACTGTGGTTCAAGTCCCAGACCTGGTGACTTGCTTTTTCACATTCCCTCTCTCTCTTTCTCTGTCTCTCTCTAGTGAGCGCACACACTTGATAGCAAATTAAATAATAATAATACATAAAATTAAATAAGTTATACTTAGAAAAAAAGATTAATGATGATTGCAAGATCAGAAATCAGAATCCAAATTATGCATCGTTTGTTTAAAGTTTTCCTCCCATGTCCTTATTAGTTCTTTGACAAATGATTAAAAAAAAAAAGTCTTCTGTATATTGTAAATATCTTCTGCGATGGTATTTCTCCAGAAAGCAGAATGACACATATCAATTTAATGTTATGTATAGTATCAGTGAATTACAATTTCTGAACACTGAGTCTAAGCAGTTTCCATTTTGACCGTTTGTGGATCTTGCAGTTTTCCCAAGCAATGAAGGAAGGACTCGGCGAGAGGCAGGGGTGGAGGCTTTCCTTAACGTGCCTAAGTCAGTGCGCCTAGCTTGGCCATGGGAGAGATTAGAGCAGAGGATCGAGTTATACCAATGGCTGAAATGTACTAAGCTCTTCCTGTGGGCCCAGCTCAGTTGTAAGAGTCTTGTCTGTTACTTACCTCCACAGCTACCCAGAGACTGGTGCCATTACTGACATTCCCTCTTTTCAGATGAAACCCAGAGAGTGTGTTATTTCCCTTCAAGTGCATAGTCCACAGGGTAAACTTAGAATTTGAATCCACTTATCCTGACCCTAAAAGCCACTCTTGAGGTAGGATTTGGGCAGGTAAAAAGTGAGAGTTTACCAGTGGTATTTTCATGACAAATATAACAAGAAAGAGAGGCATTTCTCCAATGCTCCCTTTACAGCCTCAAATACAAAGCACTGAGAAATCATTCCATGGGGTACAGATATAAAATACCACCTTTCCCCAGCATAGGAAAATTATGCCCAAAGAGACAGGAATGGTAATGATTGTTTATGTGCATTTTTCAGTGCCTCCAAGAGTAGTTTTTGTGAATAGAACATACTGTTTTATGCTATATTTATAATATTTGATTTATTAAAGTTACATGTTTAATAGCATAATGCTTCCTGAGATTATTCTGTTTGGCTTATAATTCTTATTATTCTATTCATCATTCTAGCAAATTTTAACCACCAAAGAAATATTTCATTAATATTTGATTCCATTAACAAACTTAATCACCTCTAAACATTTTTAAACTTCATTTGTGTACGTAATATATACGTTTTCCTTGTTAAGCTATTTAATTGTCTGCTTAACCAGTAACTCAACATCTAATACATTAAATTTATGAATATCATAAAACCATTAGAATACAGCTATCTATTAAATTACACATTTCAAACTTATAGTACAAGGCAAATGGTTATTCTAATAGGAATAGTAAGTTCTTGTAAACATTACAAGCACACAGAATTCCAAATGTGGTTACTTAAAATAGTAGAAGCTTGTATCTTTTTTTCCCCATAGAGCATGTATGTTCACTGGAGAGAGACAGAGAGACACAGAGACAGAGAAAGTGAGAAATCACCCCCCTAGAGGGGTGACCATGCTTCAGTTCTTTCTCCTCCTGTGATTTTGGGCATGCATACATTCGTGCCCAGTGTGATTTTCAAGCTACCAGGCCCAGGACTCAAACCATGGTGGGTCTAGCGCCTTAACCACCATACCACCTGCTAGCCCCAGGCTTTAATCTTTTATTTATTTTTTTAGAGGTTTTTGCTATAGGGTGCAAGCACTTGCCAGAAAGACAGAGCGAGACAGAAAGCGAGAAATCAACCCCAGGGTGGATGGCCACGCTGCAATCCTTTCTCCTCCATTCTCCTCTCGCACAGGATCTTGGTCATGCACGCACACATGCTGGGCGTGAGTTTAAGCCACTGGGTCCAGGACTGCAAACGGGGTACTACATGGGAGTCCAGCGACAGAGCCATTACACCAATTGCTGGTCTGAGGCTTATTTTTTATTTTTTTATTTTTTGGAGAGATTTCTGCTATAGGGCGCATGCGCTTGCCAGATAGAGAGAGACAGAGAGATAGAAAGAGAGAAATCACCCCCCAGGGGGATGGCCACTCTGCAACCCCTTTTCCTCCCTTCTCCTCTCGGGATCTTGGGCATGTATGCACACGCGCCCGGCATGAATTTAAGCCACCAGGTCTGGGACTTGAACCGCAGTCGGCTACATGGGAGTCTAGCAACATAGCCATTATGCTAACTGCTGGTCCCAGAGGCTTTAATCTTTTAAACATTTTGCACTCATTTCTCAATCTTCCGAGAGTTAACATGCTCATCTACTATGTATTTTCACATTTCTCTTTAAAAGCAAGGAGTGATCTGATTGGCAGGCAGGGTTTCTTAACTACCATAAAGTCCTAGTTTTAATCTGACGTCATTGACAGTATAATTAAAAAAAAAACCCTCCAACCTAAAAAAGGTGGTGGTCACTTAGGTCAGACCCCTGGGTTCAGGTTGCAAGTTAGAATTTTAAACCAGAAACATGATTCAGTTGCTACAGTGCTGGATTGGATTAAAATAATCCATTACATGAGTTTAAGCTGCTGGGTCCAGGACTCGAACTGTGGTCAACTATGTGGGAGTCCAGTGACCTAGCCATTACGCTAACTGCTGGTCCCGAGAAAGCCATAGTTTAACAGATATCTAAATGATCTCCTATAGATTCTCCAAGGGTTGTTTGACAGTTTGTCTACAGCTACAATGATGTGCTCTTTTTTTTTTTTCTTTTGGAGAGGTATTTGCTATAAGGCACATGTGCTCGCCAGACAGACAGAGAGAGACAAGGAGGCAGAAAGCAAGAAATCACCCCCCAGGGGGGATGGCCACGCCGCAATCCCTTCTCCTCCATTCTCCTCTCAGGATCTTGGGCACGCATGCACA